ATAAACTCTAGAAGGTGAACCATGCCTAAAACTCTCCCTTCACCAAATTTTTTGGACCTTCTGGCCAAGTTTTCTGGCGGTTTTCGTGTTTCTGGCAGGAAATGATTATAACTAAAGAGCAAGATTTGAAACTTTGTAAATCACCTCACGAGTCCTCTGATGGGTATCATTCACTATTTATCCAATCAATGATAGTATCGAGACATGTCCTAGAATAAAACAAACTAGAATCAATTCAACGTATAACTAGAATCAATAGAAACTTTCAATATTCGTGGCCTGTTTTTTAAGACAACGCTATCGTCCTCCAAGACGAGCGGTTAGAACATACGCAAAACTGTTCGACTTCACTTGCAATGAGGCGCCTGTGAGGGTATAATATAGGCTTACGCAATAGAAAAAGAGCGGTTTGTTCGCGCGAGAAAAGAATTGCTCAAAAAAATTACTATCGATCGGCTGCCCCCTGGCGCTAGCTAGCAGCACAAAGGCGTAGTCTTGCAACATCTCTTCAAAAAGGCAAATAGAGAACTAAGAAGAAAAACTAATTGTGCTGAACAGTGAGCCAAGAAAGGGAGGGGCAGCTAGGAGACCTTGCCTCAGTCTCCGAATATTTTGCTTCTTGCTATGCAGTAGAGAGAAAGTTATGCAATGTTGCGCGAAACAATGGCGACTTTTCGGCAGAAAACTGTTACTACAGAACCTTGGCAAAGGAATAGTGAATAAATCCAGTAGCCATAAATCCATATGAGAAAAAAACATTTCACACGTGATGTAGCCAGAATCCATGTTTTGTGGGTCCTTGATGACAAAAAATTGACGGCAAACGTCTATCTGTGAACAACGCTAGCAGCTAAACAGTTCAGATGATCTTCTCGAAAATTGATCTTTCCCAATCGAATTGGCTGATGTCACGACCCTTTGAACTTGAATCTGAAAATTACATTTTGGAAGGTACTTTAAATGAGGCCACTTAGATATTTTCAAAATTTTCCAAAAAAATGTTTAATCCTTTTTTATTAAAGTTTGTTGTTGGATAATGTGAAGGGTATTTAAGAGAATAGTGCAGGTTTCATGTTCATTAAAAACCGTGATTTTTCCAAAATTGCAAAAGTTAGAAATTTTTTCGGCATGTTTCAACAACTACAGTAATGAAGATCGAGGATTTTTACTTAATGAAATCTTGTTCATTAAAGATAGATTTTGATACAAGGTCTTGTACATTTTTCGAAAATTTGAGTACTATCCGCGTAATTTTACGAGAAAATACGAGCAAGCAAGTACGTGCTGTTGCAGAACCGCTGGGTTCATTAAAAATAAATAGAACGTATGCACTTCTAATTCAAATAAGCCGGTATAAGTTATTTCTTTAGTCTGAAAATCGAATTTGGTTTATGTATTGGGGCGGAAAGAGGGAATTTTATTTTAAATGAAGGGTCCCTGGATATTCTGCCCCTTGTTTCCTCTCGGTGCCGCTGGTGCTAGAACAGCACACATTTTCTCCTATTATTTGTTATGATTACCTATTCTTTTGGAAATTGTATCGAACTAATTTGCAGCAAATGAAGCGCAGGAGAATGGAACTGGCACTTTCCGAAGATCTGGAATTTTTAAAATTTCAGTGTTTTATTGAAAATTCTACGTACTCCATATTTAGTATCACACTTTTCTCTATTCAAGGAAATAAATATTATACTGTCCATCCTGGGATTAAAGGTATTTTTCTTTAATTTTTACTATCGTCCATACTACTGCTATAGTATAGGGAAACTATTGTAATGCTGCGGCAGTAAATGGCGAACATGTTTGTTCCTGTATGTAATAGATAACTTCCTCTAACACTTTCTGTAATCAGAATTCACGTTTGGTGTAAAGTGACCATATTTTGATAACATAAAAACCGGTCACTTCAGATTTTGTCACAAAGATAAAAGGGAAAAAGGACGTTGAACTCTATTTTATCACAAATATTTAGGTATGGAATAAATAAACACATTTAACTTTCTCGCTGAAGTAACATTCATTTCACTTCAACCAAAGAATCCCATAGAAAGGAACATTTAAAAAATAAGTTTTTTTTTCATTTGCTTCTTTATTCAGTGCGAAGTAGGTCCATGAAGATTGCGTACTAAGTCGCAAAGAAACTCCCAGAAGCAGAAGGATAGTATTATTGAATTTATCGATAACCATAAAGCATATACCACCTCGAATGCATTTTTAGAGATAGATGCATAGATGCATTTTTCCTTCCTTGAAACCACAACTCACTCTATAAACACTCTTGTTATGTGATTCACGAACACCATATATTGTCGTTCTTAATTTTTTTAACTAAAGCAGAGTGAACGTAACACATCATGATAAAATATATATGATAAATTTAATACTGTTGACGGCATTCCCATATATCCGATTGACTTCGAGGTCCTGCTAATTTGAAACTAATATTACGATTTTTTGGGGTTCACGAAGCCTTAAGATTTCAATTTTTTCTTCAAAATCGACTCCAATTTTTGTTACTCGTTTTCTTCTTGTTGAGCAAAAATAAGACTAACATGTCACAGATCTCATTATCCCATTCACAGACAATGACGCATCGCCATTCACCAGTTTATTGCTGTGTCTTTTGAAATATACGTATTTGGTACAATGGAATCGCTGAATGGAGAAAGGGTATATTTTACATTTTCACAACTTTACAGGAGATAAGAAGGGATTTGCAAGAAGACATTATTATTATTATTATTATTATTATTATTATTATTATTATTATTATTATTATTATTAATTTTATTTTGTTTTGTAACTTTTTCTGCTAGTTAGAAGGAAACCAGGTTTTCATGTCCCAAACCTCACCAAACAAATGTAATGATAATCTTCTTTACAAATTTCAAATGGCCGTTTTCATTGAGAGCTCGGGGAAAACTCAACTAGCAATGGAACAGTTTAGATTTTAACGGAAAAATGTAAATATTTAATTGTGCTATTCTACCTTATTGCCCTGAGTTATTTTACTCAATGCTTACAACAGCTGACAATGCGACAACATGACTTTAGGGATGGAATCCCTCTTCATTAAATATTTGATATTCACTTGTTGCGTTTTAAATCGGCAATTTTTTTAAATTATTGGTAAAACGTAAAAATTGTTGTTGTATTTATTATTATTATTATTATTATTATTATTATTTCTCGTGGGAAAATGTATTGGGACTTCATGAACAAAAGCACTTCTTTTCGTATAGTTTACCTCTTCCTTTTTTCTGGTGTTCAAACTTCCTCTTACTTTTTAAATACTAAAAGTCAATACAAATGTCACAGCATGACCAGTCTCAGAACAAACGCCCATTGGTGCCCATAGACACTTTATCATAACTAGAATTTTAATTCCACCTCCATTCTTCTATTAAATAATATTATTGGAAATGGTAGTTTATCATTTTTAAACAATAATATTTTATACAATTGTATGTAATATAATGAATTAGTTCGTTCTGAAACGATAATTAATGTTAACAAATAGGTACGTGAGAGAATTTGGACGCCAGGCCGGATTATTTTTTGTCTACAATTTTGTTTAAAAATGTAAATCATCGCGACTTTCAGTATCTTTTCCATTATCTTTAATCTGGAAATTCCTTTGCTCATCCCATGATTGCAGGCTATGTCGATTCTCGGAATTATTTTTATCTCGTAGGTTTCTCTAGGTCGCAAAGCTAAATAATGCATATGTACGTTGGATTTTTCAACATAAGTACTTTCGAATGCACTAAACACTTCGCCATTGTTCCATTATCTACAAAAGCAGACCTTTCTTCCCAAATCTAAAGAAACTGAAAGTTTCCCACTCCTGTGGGGTGAAAACCGGCAAAGGCAACAGCCCACGACCAAGGTTTTAGAGATCGGCGACGCCGCATGCCCCCTCCCCTCACCTCTGCGCCTGCTCACGGAGGGGAAGAAGGTTCTGACGTCATTTTTTCCCCAGTTGGCAAACGCTGGTTTAGGTAATAATCAGGAAGCCTTCCCTCCCGCGGGTGCAGTTTGTGCACGCCCTGTCCTCGACTCGCGGAAGTGCGCAGATTCCGTCTTGTTCGACACGAGGGGGGAATGTGTCATTTCTGTTTTTCGGGTTTTTGTGTTGTAAGGGGCCATGTGAGTGAATGCAACAGCCTGTGTCACGGAACAAATGATCAATTGTTCATAAACAGATCTGCACTAGTATCCACGACTTGAAGACGCAATTATTCCTTATTTGCAAAAATTATTTTCGTTTACGACAATTATTTTCTTTTCAAATTATTTCGAGTTCATATTGATTTGTACCCGGAAATGACTTTCACAACTCTATAACGGTTTTTTTAATTAGGTCACTCTATGTACACCCCCACGCGTTTGTTTTGAGGCTGGGCGTGCCGTGACATTTCTATTGACGTTTAGCAGTAATGAAATAAGAGGCAATTTCAACACCAGGAAAAAAGGGGAGGTATACTATACGAAGGGAAGAAGTGCTTTTGCTATGAAGTCCTAATATATTTTCCCACGAGTAATAATAATAATAATAATAATAATAATAATAATAATAATAGCCAATCAGATGGCCACGATCACTAAGGCAGTACTGCCGTAGTGTTTTCGGACCAGAATATCGCGGGTTCCAGTCCCACCGCGGGCATGGGTGTATTTGTGTATGTATGAGTGTGTCGTCCTTCCACCCCTCATTATCATCATTTCATCATCCATACCCTCAGGGCTAACAACCCTGGTGGAATAAAAATCGAACTCAGCTAAATGCTGGATCCCAATTAAAAGGTTACATGCACCTGCCACCACGATAATGATACTGAGCCACGGTAAAAGTAGGATGCATGCATGCGTGGTCCTAGTCGGCCGATACGCAAGCAAAAAAAATGAATGATCCTGAGCATGATCCTGATCCTGAGCATGAGCATGAGCATGAGCATGAGCATGAGCATGAGCACGAGCACGAGCACGAGCACGAGCAGAAGAAGGAGAAGGAGAAGGAGAAGGAGAAGGAGAAGGAGAAGGAGAAGGAGAAGGAGAAGGAGAAAACGGAGAAGGAAAGTAGAGAATGGAGAAGGAGAAAGGAGAAGGAGAAAGGAGAAGAGAAGAGAGAAGAGGAAAGGAAAGGAGAAAGAGAAGAAGGAAGGAGAAAGGAGAAAGGAGAGGAGAAGAGAGAAGGAGATGGGGGGAGGAGAAGGAGAAGGAGAATAGGAGAGGAGAAGAGAGGAAGGAGAGAAAAGGAGATATGTGTAGAAGAGAAGAAGGAGAAGGAGAAGGAGAAGGAGAAGGAGAAGGAAGAAGGAGAAGGAGAAGAGAAGGAGAAGAGAGAAAGGAGAAGGAGAAGGAGAAAGAGAGGAGAAGAGAAGAAGGAAGAAGGAGAAGAGGAGAAGGAAGAAGGAAGAGGAGAAGGAGAAGAGAAGGAGAATGGAGAAGGAAGGAGAAGGTAGAAGAGAAGGAAAGGAGAAGGAAAAGGAGAAGAGAAGGAGAAGGAGAAGGAAAAAGAAGGAGAAGAGAGAAGGAGAATGGAGAAAGGAGAAGGAGCAGGAGAGAGGGAAGGGGGGGAATAGGAGAAGGAGAGGAGAAGGAGAAAGAGAAGGAGAAAGGAGAAGAAGAAGGAGAGAAAGGAGAAAGGAGAAGGAGAAGGAGAGAAGGAGAAGGAAAGAAGGAAAAGGAGAAGGAGAAAGGATGAAGGAGAAGGAAGAAGGAGAGACGGAGAAGGAGAAGGAAGAAGAGAAGGAGAAGGACGAAAAGGAGAAGGAGAAGGAGAAAGGAGAAGGGAGAACGGAGAAGAAGAGTAAGAGAATAGAGCTAAATGGAAGAAGGAGAAGAGAGAAGGGAGAAGGAGAAGGAGAAGAAGATTACGATTTTACCGAATCATTTTTAAAAAAATACCTTATTTAACGCACAACAAGTGAAAAATAAATATTATAATGAAGAGGAAGATCACTTCCTTGAAGCACCGTGTACTGCCTACATGATCTCAGGGCTAGAAC